ATACACAAGGCTCCCTCCTCCCTCGCTCGACTCGCAATTAAGGGGCAATATCTCGCGGAGAGGAGCTTCGTGTGTATATATACCCTCTCTTTTCCGCGTCGACTTTCTATCGCGGGCGCGAGAGAGTCGTGCATAGGGTGAGGCGTGTACAAGCACCGTGAAGGATGGGCATACCTCTGCTGAATGTGCCGCAAAACTCTCTCGTCGACTTTACCCGTTGCCGGTGACATGCTTCATACGCACGAGGTTCTCGATTTTTCCGAGCGCCTCTGTTGATGGCTGCCGACGACGCGCTGCACCAGAGACGATGGCCTACTCCATTGGTGGTTTTAATCGCCCGAGGTTCTTTTTTCTCCTCCATCTTCTTCTACGTCCCCTAGCGCTTCATGTATTTATGTGCTGGAGAAACGATGTTTTTTACCCATCCGTCCGTTTTAAAAGGTCCATTTCGGTTTCGATTAGTGTCGCTTCGAGCTTTCGCTTTTGCCGCCAAAGTTGCAGTTTACCTGTTTCTTTTTTTTTTTCTTTTTTTTTTTTTTTTTTTTTCACTCTTGTTTCCAAGGAGATTTCTTGCGCGGAAAAAAATGAAACTCGTGGGAAAGTTCGGGTATCGGAGCGCGTTATCGCCGACGAGCTTACCGAAGGAGACGGGAAAAGATTGGTTGTCCAGGGCAAACAGCGCCCGTTTGCTCAAGGGCTGCACCCAACAAATCAATAAGGATCATGTGTATTGTATACGTATAGAAACTGCTGCTGAGAAATTCGTTGTTCAGCAACAGCGACGTTTCATTGTAATATATATATATAAGTACAAATGTATAACAGGCTGGCGTGGTAGTTAATTGTAGCGACGAGTTGTTGGAAGCGTATTTTGTCCCAAAAATTAGCCAACAAACTCACTTTGCGTGTCTTCGTTGGTCAAAACACAACTCTATAGGGTGCGGTAACATAATTAACCAAGTTTCCCCCTTTTTGTTTCATTCGCAAACAGAAACACTTATCAATATGTCGAAAGTAAAGAGAAAAAAAAAAAAAAAAAAAAAAAAAAAAAAAAAGAGAAGGCCAAAGTAAATAACAAGAAAGCGAGACTCTCGCCTCGAGGAGGGTGTGCGAGATTCCTCGGCGCGTAAATATAAAACGCCCGCAGGGCCTACGCGGCCGGAGGGGGAAATCAAAAGCCGCCGAGCGAGCGTCGTCTTTTTGGGCTCTCCCTCTCTCTCGCATCTCGATTTCCTTTTCCCCCTGTTGCGATGCGATGCCAGTGACTCTTTTATCGGCTCGTAAAAAGAGAGAAAGACGAGAGCCTCCCCCCCCCCGGATTTGTTCGCCCTTTCGTTCGTTCGTGTGTGTGTCACTGGTGATTCGATTTCTCGATCGTGTCGTAGCTGGCCGGGTTTCTTCTTGTATAAGTACGAGGATAAGAGATTTTTTATGGAGACCATCGCGGGGATTAGCACCAATATTTCTCATTTTGATTTTGAATATCGTGTAATGCAAACCGAAATTTTATCGCCAAAAACTCATAGGATATTGCCACATCGGGTTGCCGTCGTCCATCATGGCATACACATTTGCGTAGGAGTATAAAACCACAATGTCTGGGAGCTAAAAGAAGAATAGGAAAAAAAAAAAAAAAAACCAGCTTCCCAACAGATTATTTACCTTGGTGTCGAGGCGTAAATCAAAAGGACTTTAAAAGCATAGGGGCACAAAAAACAGTCAAAATAAAAGACAGAGAGGAAAAAAAGAGGGTTAATTATAGGTTTCGGCGCGGCTTATTGAGCAATATCGCGGAGTTAGAATTAGTAGAAGGGATAAGGAAAAAAACAAAACTCGTCATGTCTCGTTGGCGCATTAGAGGGTCCCGTTATGTGATGTGCTTGCGTGTAAAACTAGCGTGCTACTCGTTTTCGAGCGCTATACGTACGCGTGCGATACGCGGGTATAGGTATACGTATTACAATTGTGCAGACGGGACATAAGATTAGAAATGACTCTACTTTTTTTAGTTCATCGGTACCGTGTGCACATATAAATTTTTTTTTTCTTTTTTGCTGTAAGCGCACACGGTTGGAATTTCATTCACGTAAACCTATACAATTGGAAAAAAATCAAACGCCATAGTAATTAATCAATTTTCTTGAAAGGCCATATGATACATACGTATCAAGTACAGGGACATACGAAATTTTGCATCGACTGGGGAAAAAAAAGAGATGCCAAGTCAGTCCAAGCTACATCATACATATACGTAATATGTAAGTATACCCATATAGGTGTTCAGGGACATATTAGTATCGGAGTTTGAAGGTATGAGTAGCCCTGATTGGAATTTCCGATGGCGAGCTGGAGCTGAAAATCGGTATGGATTGAGAACGATTGCCAAGTTACGTTACCACAATATATAGAACAAGTTATTTTTGTGGTTTTTTTTTCTCTAGTTATAGTCTCACTAGCACATAGATTTACAAAAGTAACATTGTTTAGTTGATCTTAAAGATTTGACTCGATTTGACTAATCAAGCGATATGATTCCGTGTGGTCGTCCTGAACGGAGCTACCCTCATGTTACACATTTGGAAAGTTCAACGAACTCTTTCGAAAGCTTAACCGTGTCAGGGGAGAAACTACCGAAAGCTTTGAATATATAGCCAACAGCGGTGAAAACTACTTTTATTAGAATCTTTCCTACCCCCCCACCACCACGTGACGAAACTACAAAGTATACCCGAGTAAACCCACCTAAAACAAGAAACAATCAACAGCTCAAAAAACGTCTAAAGTCTCTCTTCCACCCTGCCCTCATAGAGTTCTTTACCTTAAGGAACTAAGTATACAGTGTGTAGGTAATATATATATATATGTAACGTAGGAGGAAGAGGAAAAATAATTTGCGACTCTCTCTTCTCCATATCTTTCGAGAACCTCACCTCGCACGTAATTAACCCAAGAGGAAACAGTCCTGTACAACGTGTATTATGTGACCCTACCCCCCCGCAATCTTATATAGGTACATCCCCGAGGCTCTGCACTTATCGCCTCTTCCGCAACAAGCCGCTGCTGCGTATGGGGGAGGGAGGGGGTGCTTGGTTGGTTTTTCACGGAAAATGTATAGCCACGAAGGCGGGGTAGTGCAAGTAGCGTACCTATATACCTATACGCGTCAGTGTATGTAATAAAGAAGCTGCTGCGCAAGGAGAAAGAGAGGAGGAATAATAAGAAGTCAGGGCCCTCTCCTCGAGCAGCGGCTCTACAACGAAAATAGGCTCTCTTCTTCTCGCGGAGTGTAAGATACCGAGAGAGAGAGAGAGAGAGAGGAGGCGCGCACAAGACGCCCCTTTCTTCCCGTTATACCGCGTCCTCCTTTGCGCTCGTGATGCACGCGCTCTTGTGCACCGTATGTATATATACACGTTGCCCCTTGCTGCTTGATGGGTCCGCGTTTTGTAATGACAAACGGGAGGTGGTCTACTATATGGCTTTTCCGGCGTGCACAGGTCTCTCCGAGGATGATCGTCTACGGGTTGGTGTATATATACAATATATGCCTAATACATAGGTACCTGCGAGAGTACAAACTGTAGTTGTGTACGCGGGGAGAGAGAGAACTCTCTCGTATAAAGAGTGGCTGATGCGCTTTCTAATGCTAAGTGTACATACGAACATGTCACTTGCACTACTACACCGACTCTCACCGCGAGACAAGTGGAATCCTTTTGTTTGATGACTGTTTTTCTTTAGCATCGAGTAAAAAAGAAAGGATGACGTCCTATTGTATAAACCCTTGTACCCTGTACCTTATTTTTGTTGAACTCGATATACACACACACAATGCATGATATATACTATACGTTACAACTAGAGGGTGAGGCATGTGTAAAATATACATATGCAGGACCAATTTTATTTTGGGGTATACTTTTATATACTATTATTCATGCTACCTCTTCATATTCGTTCCGTTAAGGGGTTTAATGGCGATTATACGCTGTTATTTCCCGCAAAGACATTACGACGCCCTATATATATGTTTGTTTATAAAGTACGAGCTTTTGCTCTGATGGTAGTGCAAAGTGATATTGTTTCGCATTTGTTTACTTTGTAGGTGTACGTAGGTAGATGGGCAGATATTTATACACTCTACACCGAGATGTGCGCTGGCATTTAGATATACACAAATGAATACGAGTACTTATGCAAAATTTATTTTAACTCATCTATTAAAGCAACTCACCAAAAGATCAACCCCATTAATGCAGATCCGACAGCCGCTTTTCTAGGTTATAGTTCTTAGTTTTTGTTGAAAACGCTCGCGCACTTATTAATTAACCGAACATGTACTTGGCAGTCGTATTTTTACTCGTAGTAAACGTTCTTATAAACTTGTCCTGAAAAACACCGCGTACGGGATCGAAAAATGCCGACACTCCTATGATTCACGATGTACAGCCATCTCCAGTTCCTTCCTTGGAATATAACAGAACCACCCCAACCCCTATTAGTAACTCACTGATAGTAGCTGCCTTTATTTCCGGCGAGTACAGGGACACACACGCGTGTGCATTGTTTTATACTGATGGTATACGGTTACCACATTACCACATAAGGTAATTGTGGGGTCGCTCGATCCTCAGCCACACGTGTGTCCCGCGCGCCGTATTCAAATGAGAATCAACGCCATCTAGCGGTGTGCGCTTTCTCGGCTATTTGAGGGTGTTTTTCGCGCCCACGCAATTAACATAAAATTAAAAATGCATGTGTACACCTATATACATTTATTTTTTATCGGGCAATCGGCGCCGATAACGCGCGTTATCTAACGAGATGTTGTGTAGTGAGGACCCTGCTGTACCGACGGCCAAATGAAAAATATTTTCACCTCATCATCAGTTATCGGTACGACAGGGTCCTTCCTGCACAAGTCTCACTAGATAACGCTGATTTTAGCAATATATATACATGTGCAGGGATATTATTACTATAGGCTAGGCATGTCTTTTCTCTTAACATAACCTAACGATGTGTCAGTGTAACATGTGGAAATTTAAACTTTATTAATATCTTGAGTGTTATTGAGTGTTATACTTTAATTGTAAGAATCTATTTGAAATTAAAATATTTCATTACTTTACTATTCACTATTATAAAATTTTTTAAAGTTAATTGTTTTAAGATTTACCGTATCACTATTTTTAAAAATGCTGTAGAGTCTAAAACTAGCACGTTCTATCTAAACAAATTTTCAGATCAAAATGTCCACTCCAGAAGATTTTACTGCTCACAAGCAGCACAGGGATAGTAAATCTGGTCGGAAAGCTGATAAGAAAAAAGAAAAGAAGAAGAAACCTTTGGAAGGAGATCCCAAAAAGAGAAATCCCAAGGCTTTTACATTCAACTCGGCAGTCAAGGCAGAAAGACGATTTAGGCGTAAACAAGATGTTGACACAAAAAAGCAACACATTCCTCTTATTGATCGAACACCTTTGGAACCTCCACCAGTCCTGGTTGCTGTGGTGGGGCCCCCTAAAGTGGGAAAATCCTTACTCATTGAGTGCCTTGTAAAAAATTTCACAAAACAACCACTTTCCAACATTACTGGACCTGTGACAGTAGTAGCTGGTAAACGCAGGCGAATCACGTTTCTTGAGTGCAACAATGACATAAACAGTATGATAGACATTGCCAAGGTTGCTGATTTGGTTCTGCTTCTTGTCGATGGCTATAACAAGTTTGAGATGGAAACATTTGAGTTTCTTAATATATGCCAAGTTCATGGTATGCCACGTATCATGGGTGTTTTAAACCATTTGGATTTATACAAAAATGCCAGACAAATGAGAAAGACAAAAAAGGAGTTGAAACGCAGATTTTGGACAGAGGTTTATCAGGGAGCAAAGTTATTTTATTTGTCTGGTTTGTTGCACGATGAATACATGCGCCAGGAAATTAAAAATCTGGCCAGGTTTATATCAGTCATGAAATTCAGACCCATTACCTGGAGGAGTACACATCCTTACTTACTCGTTGATCGTGTCGAGGACTTAACTGATCCAGAATTGATGAGACAGAACAGTAAGGTTGACAGAAATATTTCACTATATGGGTAATTATTATTTAAACTATTAATCAACTAATGCTCATTATTAAATGCGTTGAAGTAATGTTCTGATGAATTTATATTTTTTAGCTATGTACGAGGTGTACCTTTTCATAATCAGTCTTCCATTCATATTCCTGGCTGTGGAGATTTAAAGATCAAGGATATAAGTTTTTTGCCAGATCCATGTCCACTACCAGAACACTTAAAAAAGAGAGCTTTGGTGGAAAGAGAGCGTTTGATATATGCACCGTTTTCTGGAGTTGGTGGCATTGTTTATGACAAAGATGCAGTTTACATCGAATTAGGTGGAAGTCATCATCACAATAAAGACGACGATACTGGTTTAGTAAGCCAATTGCTTCAGACTCAAGAAACTTTAGATCATAAACTGGAGAAGAGTGAACTTCAGTTATTTACCGGCTCAGTTCCCATAAAGTCTCAAGATGTCAAGCAAATATTTATGGAAGAAGGAGATTACAACGAAAAAAAATTGGGAAAACAAGGTGATGTCAACGGCTTTTTAAACGATAATGACGATGATGGTGATGATAGTGATGAGCAGAGTGAAGATGGAATGGATGTAGATAATGATGATGAAAGTGATACAGAACAGGAAAAATCATGCGAGAGTGAAGATGAAGACGAAGATAAAGACGACGAGGAAGATCCCAACGATGCAGACACGTCATCAAATAAAAGAAAAGCTGCTCAAAAACTGTCAGGCAAGAAAAAAATGAAGTTGGAAATATCAGCACCCAAGGAAGACGAAGAAAGTACAAAAGTTTACCGAAAATTACACATTAATCAAGATGAGCACGTGAAAAACAAAATTTCGGAAGTACTGGACCTTGTGGACAGCATTGATTCTAAAAAGTCAAAATTTAGTAAGCGACCCAAAGAAGATAGCGATAACGAAAGTTTTGATGAACTGAGCGAGGATGAAGAAGTAGATTTTGAGTCGAAACTCGAAAAAGATGAGGTGGGTGAAGATAATGAAGGTGATGAAGAGGAGGAAGAAAATCAAGGCGAGGATGAAGAGAATGACGATGACAGTGAAGAGGAAGATGATTCGCCAGACAATTTGAAATGGAAAAGGAACATAGCTGAACGAGCGCGTGAAGCTTTCTTGCAGCGTCAACAGAAAAACGTTAATCTGCAGCGCCTAGTTTATGGGGTCTTTGACGAGAGTAAATTAGAAAAGAAAGAACAAAAGGAAGAAAGAGATGCAAATGATGATGAAAACGAGCTCGGTGGTATATTCCGTGTCGTTCAAGAAAAACAAAAACGGATGATTGAGGAGCGTGAACTCAAGAATCAAGAAGAATGTGTGTTTTATTCCAAGGAACCACCTCGTGATTGGCTTGAAGAAAGTAACAAAGACCTTTTGATCAATCGCTTTGTCACTGGCAAGTGGAAAGAATCCGAGGATGCAGAGACTCTTTTGAAATTAGGTGGTTAAATAATTTTTTTATTCAATTTATATAAAAGTTACTTCTGTACAACTTAAAACTCTTGTTTCATACTTTTTCTTTTAAATAGACGCTTTGGACGACGGCGAAGTCTTTGACGACTTTGAGGATTTGGAAACTGGCAAAAAGTTCACAGCCGAGGAACAAACTAAAAAAGAAGATGGTGAGTCGGAGGAAACAAAAGAAGATGACGCCGAGCACAAAAAACTCCTCGAGAAGAAAAAGAAACTCAAAGTGCAGTTTGACATGGAGTACGATACGACCGACAAAACGTACTACGACGACCTGAAGGAAGAATGCCAGCGCCAAGCAAATCTGAACAAATCCGAGTTTGAAGGCCTGGACGATTCGATTCGCGTGACCCTTGAGGGCTACCGTCCTGGTATGTACGTGCGTCTCGAGATCGATAACGTACCCTGCGAGCTCATCGTCAATCTCGACCCCAGCTATCCAATGGTCGTCGGTGGCTTGCTCCCTGGCGAAGAGAACATCGGCTACGTACAAACGCGTTTCAAAAAGCACAGGTGGTATCCGAAAATACTGAAAAGCAAGGATCCCATCATTATGTCTGTTGGATGGAGGAGATTCCAAACTATAGCCATATACTCGCAGTTAGGTAAGATTTTGATTCGTTTGGTTTTTTATGTCAACGCAGGGTTAATCATATGTGTACTGACTATCGATTAATTTTCAGAGCACAATATGCGTAACAGAATGCTAAAGTACACGCCGGAGCACGTGTCGTGTATGGCACACTTTTGGGGTCCGATCACGCCTCAGGGTACGGGAGTTCTCGCTGTTCAGGACGTATCCAGGGTCGACCGGAACTTCCGCATCATCGCGACGGGCTCAATCGTCGAAGTGGCCAAGAGCAGCAAAGTAATGAAAAAACTCAAGCTGAAGGGCGTGCCTTACAAACTGTTCAAAAAGACGGCTTTCATAAGAAACATGTTCACCTCGAGACTGGAAGTAGCCAAGTTCGAGGGTGCCAAGATCAAGACGGTCTCGGGTATCCGAGGTATGATCAAGAAGCCTGTCTGGGACGATAAGCTCGACGGTGCCTTCCGCGCCACGTTCGAGGACAAAATACAACTCTCCGACATCGTCTTCTGTCGCACTTGGTACCCCGTCGAGATTCCACGCTTCTACAACCCCGTTACCTCGCTTCTGCTGCCTCTCAATCAAAAGAACAGTTGGACGGGCATGAAGACCAGCGGCCAGCTGAAACACGAACTGAATATCCATGTCGAGCCGAATCCGGACAGTTTCTACACGCCAATCGAGCGCGAGCCCAAATTTTTCAAGCCACTGTTCGTGCCTAGATCTCTGCAGAAGGAATTACCCTATCAGGACAAGCCAAAAGTAGCGGCCAAGTTCTGCAAGCGCAAGCAATTCGACAAGCAACGGGTGGCCGTAGTCAGAGATCACAAGGAAGCGAACGTCGCGAGGCTGATGAAAATGATTAGGACCAACTACGCGCACAAGGAGCTCAAGAACAAGGAGGCCACGCACAAGAGGATGGAAGCGCTGAAGAAACGCTACGAAGAGGAGGAGGCCAAAAAACTCAAGCGCCAGAGGGTAATGAAGAAGCAGATATTCAGCGATCTTGCGAGGATGGACAAGAAAAATAAAAATAAGGCCAAGTAGCGGGATTCGAGGTGTTGATAAGTTGTTCTTTTGTAAATAAATATCATTTATTATGTGTACATAAGCCTTTTTTTCATTTATTTTTGAACCACAAATTGTCGATAATTGTTGTCCTGCAGTGCGTGTATTAATAAATAATCGCCTACTTTTCGGTATAAACTTAGATTTTAATCTCGTCAAAATAAATTAAATGAATAAATAGTTGAAGCTCGAAAGTGCTATTACGTAAAATCGAGAAGCAGATAAAGAATTTAACTTTTTATAAATGTTTCAAGTGCCACGTAAGTATCGTATATTTGTGTACTTATACCTTTATTACAGATGTAGCGTTAGTACTGACAATGAAATGAAATTAGTTGATTTTTATTAACAAGTTCAGAAATAACGTTTGATAAAAATACAGTCATTGAATAAATTTTACGTGCGGTACGTCCTGTTTATTTTGTTTTCTTTTGAATCTCAACTGGTGGAAAAAAAAATTGTTTTACCATCGTAAGATTTTACGAGTCTTTTTCCCTCTTCTTTTTACTTGTAATCCATGTTCGTTTTTGCCAATTTTACACTTTAACGTAACCACATTCTTTAAATGTTGAGTATAAAATATCTGTATGGATTGTGAAAGTAAATACATAGATTTTATCCGATGTATACTTAGTTCTTTATTTTGATTTTACAAAAATTGGATTTTTTTTTGCAACGAGTATTCCAAAACAAACATAGTAATACATACTTTTTTCTTCAAAAGCAAAATTTTTTGGCTCGAAACTTTTCATGTCTTACGTCGAAAAATGTTTGATGAATTATTTTGAAAAATTTACAATAAATACAATGATGATCGTGGATTGTTGTAACATACAAAAAGGAATAAAAACAAAAAATGCTGATTAGTCGAAGCGGGCGATTAATTCATGACGTAGAAAACTGTTTGATCAACGTATAGCGTTAAAAGTAATGAAATTGATGTAGAGGGGTATTTTTTACATTACATATTTACATGGGGGTTTCCCCCTTAAGCTCTCCGTGCGGAGGTAACGATGAATCAAGTAATTTTAGTATTAGTCAATCTACAAATTAAATGTATTTTTCTTTTTTTATCACACCTGGAGCTAACTACAATTTTATTTCATTTTTTCTAGCGGATCCAATATGAGTCGCAAATTGATTCATTTTAATTGAATACCCATAAGTTTTATTGAAAATGTTTTCACGGTTTTATATATACAGACATTTGAGCATCTCATAGATAATAATTCTATTAGCTGTATTTAAATATCCATATAATATTGTAATAAAAATCCAAGAGAAATTTAGATTTAAAATGAGTTGAATGATAATTTTTAACTAAAAAACATTGTTGGAAGAAAATATTCAAGCAATAAACACTCGATACACAAGATTGTAATTTTATACTTCGAAATTCGTAGTATTCTGCGGTTGGTACAGTGCCATCGTTGGGATGGTCCAAAATTGTAATAATTCAACCCGAGAAGAAATTTTGACACGTTTGCCGGAAAATTCTGACAATGTAAATTAATTACACGGTAAAACCCAATGCGCCGTATAAGCACCTCGACAGTAAAATAGATTATAGAGATGATAACCATGGCAAAGTGTTAAATAAATATAACTTACAACAACCCAAATTCCAACGTGGTATTCTTGACACGTATATGTATATGAGCACACGTTATTCGTGACGCTCCTGTCTCTCTTATCTTTTCGAAATAATGTATACAGGCAACTACGAGACACACTCGCGGTACCTGCAGTAAACCCGATAAACTCCACAGCAGTCCGCAGTCAGTGTTCGAGAGAAAAACATCCCTCGTCCGGTGACATTTTAAAAGCCAACACTTTTTGCCGTTTAACGACTCGAGGGATCATCGCACACTCGTGTGCATTACTGCTTGCATGAGAAAAAGGTACCTATATATATACATACATATACTTTAATATATAATATATACACACGTAAATAAGGCATTATTTGGAGAATAGGTACTTTTTTTTGTTTTCAATCATATCATAAATACTTAGAGGATACGGAGCTTTTTTGGCAGCGAAAGCGCAATTACATAAACGTGGGGGACCGATCGATACAACGTGCACACACGTAAGTACGTGTAAATGGTACACACAGGAAATAAGGAAACGCGCGGTTAAACGCTCGTTTTATGGTTACACGTGCCGATGGGGGAGTAAAAATGTTTATACTCGACAAAAGGTTTGATCAATCGTCGGTGAAGCGAGCTTATTTTTTATTCACTTAAAAGTACCATCACATAAACGTTCGATAAACGTTAAATGGGAAAGAAAGGATTTTACGTCACGGTTTAGAGGTATATATAAATTGTATACACGATGGCACTTTACTCTATACATCTTGTATGGTAATTGCCCAATTGTCCAAGCTTCCATGCTCGAGGTCAAAGTCACGTTGCACACATCAGCAATGTATGTCGCGTTGTTGGCGCAGTTTATTGTGCGTGTGCCATAGAAAAAATTTAAAAAACGGAGCTTTTGAAGACCGTGTGTTTTGATAAAAACGCGGAAGATTGCGGTTGTTGTTGTCGTTGCACATATATACCTACGTTCAAGCTGATGCTCTCTTATCGCTCCCCGAGAGACATCGTGCCGTGCGAGTGTTAATGCGATACAATATAATCCGTTATATACTTTGAAGGATCAATAGGATTTGTGGATGTACGCACGTTAATCCAGTGTGGAACATGATTACGATTGAGAGAAAAAAAAAGAAAAAAAAAAAAAAAAGAAAAAAAAAGAGAATGTAAGTACAGATAGAAATTATTTTACCGCAACTGCGGATGAGAGAGCTTTTTCCGCAGCAGCCACACTCGAGGGCTCGAAAATGTGTATGTATACATACGTGTGCCATACAGTACACGAGGGAAACCTTTTGTCGATGTTTTTCTTTTTTCCGCGCTGCACTTACCTCTCTTTCCCCCTGTGTCCGTCAGATGTATCTCTATTTGCTATGATTATACATATATATATATTTTTTTTTTATTCTCATTCGTTTCATTGATTTTCTCGTCCTTCGTGTGTAAAAGTGTGGCTATTGGAGTTTTCTGGATTAGTACAAGGACAACCCTTGAATATTCCTCGGTAAATTTTAACCCAACGAAATGACAATGTTTTTTTTTTTTTTATTTACCTTTGCAACACGTATACAATGAGATATCAATAATAACGTTGTTGCTGGTACCATCAGTGTTACTGTTATTATTTTTTATTATTTTTTTAATCAGTAATTCAACATCAAGGATATTACTATACAATCACTCGCAGATGAACCTTTTTATTAACTTTCATACAAAACGTACCCTCCCCCCTCTACACCCCCCACACTGCATGGAAATAATCGATAGCGTATCAAAGGGTTGTCATAGACGAAAAAAAAGAAAAAAAAATTGGCCCATGAAACATACTTGTAAACTAATATTGAGAACATAATATATGTATATATGCGAGGGAGAGTTTTGCCTTGTCGAGGTGCGCGCGTGCGCGACCGATTCATCCCCCTTTTGGGATATATAGGTACACACATGCCTATACATAAACCCCATGATATGAGTGGTATAGGATACGTGATTTATTCGCACCAGTCGAGTGTTATCGTGTCGTCGGCCCCGATCGATTCTCGGTTTGAATCTTAGGCCCATTTTTGTCGGGATTTTATGGTTTTTCCTTGTTTTGTGCAAACATACATACGAAAGGAAAAAAAAAAAAAAAAAAAACGCGTCTATGTAGGAAATAAGGGTAAACTCAATGTCTTGCGCCACGTTTCAGCATATGTTTTGCCATCCAAGTGCTTGATTACCGTCGTTGTTTTCCTGATTAAACGCGTATTGTAAATTTCAACCCAAAAAGGTACACTTTTCTCTTCAATCGCAAAAGATACCGCAACAATCGCCCCCTCCCCAAGTTGTTCGATCGCGGGATTAAACACCAGAGCTCTTTCATACAGCGCGTCGACATACAGAGAGAGGTAAGTGCACTCCTCGTATACCATAAAAGAAAAAGAAAAAAAAAAAAAAAAAAAACCGTTTCGCTCCGATAAGCGTAATAGTACCCCTTGTACATGGGTATATACTGGTATACCTACTCGGCGATCGGTCTCTCCGTGTGCGTTTCGTGTTTGGGTTCCCTGCACTTGTCTCCCGGGGCAACTCTCTTAAAATCACACGAGTCCCCGTTAATAACGTCTATTACTATTCATACGGGTACAACCGACCGGTTGATGTGCTCTCTGTTGCGCACATTTTGCGTTGGTGCGTTTATAAGTTTACCCTCGGGCGTACAATACATATATACATCCCGCGAACAAACGGATAATAACAATATCGTTTTGCGTATTAAGTTGTTGTGCTCATTTCAGACAAAAGCACACAGAGGATGATCAAAATAACCGAGGAACTGAGTGGACTCGTTCAGAGCAAATTCAGCGCCACGGAAGCCAAAGTACTCGTATCCTTGCTCGATATTACAATCTTTTTCATTTATTATTTACTTGTAATTTGTACGAAATTGCCTGGGAAAAAAAAAAAAAAAAAAAAAAAAAAAAAAAAAAAATACATAATAGTTCCTAAATGACATTGCCATTGGAAGACAATGTCCCAGGACAAATATCCAAAGTCGTTGAAAAAGAAGCGGCTCGTGGTTCTGCTGCGCAAAGACTCGACCCACGCCCTGGTAACTCTGACGACATCGGAATCGGCGCCTCGATTCAGCAGCGATCTCGACATCGAGGAGGTGCTGCCGATCGAACGAGGCTTCGAGTGCACCACAAGTAAATCTTTCACGTAACAACTCTCATGGTGAATTAGCATTTTTGTTGCTCTTGAGTTTTTTGTTTTTTTTTTTTCTCCCCCACCCCTCCCCAATTGATTCAGACAGAGCCGAGGAGTTCAAGGAATTGTCGGACGTGTTTTTCAAAGTCACGTGCAGACGGGCCAAGAGGCTCTTCCAAATGGCACCCTCCGCCAGGACCACCGATTTCCAATCCGAGGTCTTTCGCGCGATCGACAGTACGACACGACTATACATTATACACCATGTAAGCCCACTTTTGCGTAATAAAGTGCTTTGTGAAACGATACAGCGTACCAGCGAAAGCAGAATCCAGCCTCGGACTACCGTTGGATCGCGAGGATAGCCGGTAAGATTCCCAGCATCGATCGGATCGTCCTGAACCGGATGAATCGCAAGAGGGACGAGTACACGTACAAAAAAACCTTGAGGTTCGCGAATGAAAAAAAAGAAAAAAAAAAGGGATAAGTACAATGCTTACGGGTGTTTCGTTATCGGCAGGTTGTTCATCGGCACTTGGAACGTGAACGGCCAGTCCCCGGAGGGTTTGACGGTGGAGGGTTGGTTGCGCGCCGAAGACGAGTCGCCCGACATCTACGCCATCGGCTTTCAAGAACTTGATCTCAGCACCGAGACGTTTTTACTGAACGAGACGAAGCGCGAGGACGAATGGATGGCCATTTTGAGCAAGTCCCTGCATCCAACTGGCGATTACGAGCTCGTGGCTCAGGAGAGGCTGGTCGGACTGACCATCTTTGTCTTTGCCAAGGCCATGCATGTACCCTACATCAGGCACGTTGTCACCGACACCCTCGGCGTTGGTATCATGAAAATCATGGTAAATCCTTGCTATACGCGTAACCGATCGTATATATATAGTTCTTTTTCATTTGATTGTTATATTTGCGTGTACTTTGCACGAAGGGTAATAAAGGCGGAGTGGCCGTAAGCATGAGCGTGCACGGAACGTCGATTTGCTTCGTGAACACCCACTTGGCCGCGCACATGGACGAGTGCGCGAGGCGGAACCAGGACTACGCGTGCATCAGCGCGGACATAAAATTCGAGGACAGCCCTACGAAGAAGCTCGTTGATCACGAGTAAGTTCGCCCTCGTGTCTTGTAATATCTTACGTGACTTTTTTTTTTTTTTTTTTTTTTTTTTTTTTTTTTTTTTGTACTCCTTTCACACAGACAAATTTACTGGATGGGCGATCTGAATTACCGGATAGCCGATCTTGAGGCGGACGAGGTGAAGCTGCTGATAGACGCGCAAGATTTCAAGTCGCTGCTGATAAGGGACCAGCTGAACGAGCAGAGGAGGCTCGGCAAGGCGTTCGTGGGCTTTCAAGAGCAGGATATATGCTTCAGGCCGACTTACAAGTACGACCCGGGTACCGATGACTGGGACTCGAGGTGCATACACACATTATACGTATTTCAAACTGTATATGCGCGTAAAATGTGGAGAAGCATATATATATATGTGTGTGTGTGTTAACGATTTTATTTTTCTAAATATCGGTAATGAAGCGAAAAACAGAGAGCCCCCGCCTGGTGCGATCGGATACTTTGGCGCGGTGAATCGGTGCACCCGCTGGCCTATCGCAGCCATCCAGAGTTCAAGATTTCCGATCACAAGCCGATCAGTGCGATTTTCAACTCGGAAGTAAGTACATGCATGTGTTTTTTTTTTAATTTTTCAATCCAAAGATAAGATCAAGAGAGGGAGGTGAAAAAAAAAAAAAAAAAAAAAAGATTTCATCGCCTTTACGTACTTTTGTGTAATTGTAATATATTTTCATTCGCAGATAACGATAGTAGATAAACACAAGTGCCACGTGGTTTACGAGGAAGTGGTCGCGAGGATAAAGAAAAAGTATTTCATACCTAAGCCGAACTTCGATCCATTGGTGATGAATTCCGAAAACGTGTGCGCTTGGCCTTCTTGCGGTTTTTTGAAACAAAAGTACACGTCCGTGTAGATAAATAGGTGTACGTACCTAATCGTACTGCAGAACGACTGATCTCTTTGAAAAAAATTGAGCTGTGCAACGTGCAAATATTTTTTTGTTATTGTATTACATGTGATGATTCATCGTTGTGTGTTTTTTTTTTTTTAGTTTCGTACTAGGAGTATAGTATTCGTAATTTTATAGTTTTTTTTTTTTTAATTTTAATTCTTCCATTGTTTACGTGTAAGATAACGTTTACGATGTGTGTTCTATGAATGAAAAATACCGGTAAACAAGTTGGTAAAAAAATTGATAGTATTATTGACGTATTTTAAATAAAGTTTGCGCGAGTTGTTGCGCCTATCGTTGTGAATGATAAATAATGATGTACCTATATACGTATTTACTATACATAAAAGTGTACCTAATGAATTTTCTTATATAGAGATATTATATATATATGTATACATATATATTTTAATAAAATACGTACACACTAATTAGCAACCACTGGCGTTTGTCTTGATTTCACAAAGTACAAGTCATACGATAGGGTACGAAACATGATGACGTATACATATAACATATAACATAATATATATTCGTCGGTGTCATCATAAAGAGAACTAAAGACACAAACTCTCGTATGACTCGTAGAAAAAAATTGCTTACTTGTAAGTATCTTTTTTTTTTTTTTTTTTTTTTTTTTTTTTTTTTTTTATTTTAAAAAAAAAAAAAAAAAAAAAAAAAACATCTATAGGCAAATCGATAATCGCTCGCTAATCAGATTAAATTAATCCGATTTGTGCAGTGTAGCTCCCTTTTTTTTCAGTAAATAGGTGTGCAACACGAATATAACATTGTAGCAAATTATTTATCATAGAGATGTTGATTGAAAAATAAATTAAGGAAGTACTACATCGAAAAAAAACTCGGAAAATATTCAGATATCCAATCGATTTGTAAACGGCTGCATATATATATATAACTTACGTAAAAAATTAAACACCGACTGAAGGGAAGGAAGGAAGACAGCTATACCTGTATATATAGGTATATAAGGTTTATTATGATTTTCCAGAGGTTTTGGAAAGGGGGAGTGACAGAGACAGAACATAATATATATATATGTAGACATAGCTAAAGCTGATATCTGCAGTTTCTGCATGACGGTGTATATGTGCAGAGAGAGAGAAAAACATTAAAAACAAAAGGACTTCATTCATGCAGGAGTCAAAGTTGTGAGTTGCAATTTTTGCCATTATCTAAGTACTCTAATACGTGTGTGGGGTATCATTATTTTTAAACACTAGTTTTTGTACATCTGTCTTTCTGTCATCGATATTAATAACAAAACGATTGTCGTGTGGTGGTTGTATGGGCCGATACTTTACTACGTTTTTTTGTGTGATGGATCGACGTGCAGTTAGGGTGGAAACAAAAAAAATTTTTTTTTTTTTTTTTTACTGTAAATAAGTATACCAATAGTTGAGGTATATAATATACTTTTGTAGCCTTAATTTAGTTGTCATAGGTACCGATTCATCCGCATCGGATAAGTATGTCTCTTATCTATGGTGTACTTATTACAATAGTTTTTCTTGGGGATAAGTATACTACTTATCAGACTACTAATACGTTGTTTCAGTGAGAAGGTAAATTACAAGGGCATCTTCGTGAATATAAAGAACAGAAAAGGTGATTGTGAAATTTCCAGTTACGTGTATATATTGCACAATAATGTAATGTTAGTTTGATGTGTGTAATCATCTATACGGAACAGAAATGAGAACCATCAGCAAACAAGTTAAAAGTATGTGCTTATAATCATATGTGCCTGATAGCAGGTAATCTGTTCACTTTATTTTTGTGACCCTATACAGATGTACAGTTTAATTGAGTGTTAGCATTAAAGTGTAAATATTTTTTTTTTACAGGTACTTACTAAAATATTTCTGATGGTACTTGTACATTTAATTGAACCGTGGAATGAATATGTGCATGAAAAGTAATCAAGAAACTTGGTAAAAAAAGACATGAAGCAAACGTATAATCAGCTAGCATGAGTAGCATCATAGGGATGGCTGTGGCTGTCACTTCTCGTGCTGCATTAGAGTATAACTTGAGCCAGCTGCAGTGGTAGTGTGTGATACACCTATATGTTGACACCGTGATCTGGCCAAGTTCATCATCTAGTAAGCTACCTGTGGACTCGATAGTATACCACTACAACTTCTCTTCTGTGCACCTGTCTTATAACACGCAAATCCATTTTCGGAATAATAATTAAGCATCATGTCGACGCCGGAGCAATTGGCTCTCGTCCAGTCCAAATTTACTACAGGCGAGGCCGTTGTCATTGTATCCTTTTGCTACCTTTCTACCTTGTACTCTACTATCTGTCTGCCTGCTCTTTTGGCACTTATTGCGCGCGTGTGTTTGTCTATTTGTATGTCTACGGAGGCTCATCATCATGTTGAGCAGCTGTACTTTCATGCAAAAAAATGGAAAAGAAGAGGGTGCGTGTAGTGGATTTGTTTATGGATATTTTCCTTAGTGAAATTTTAATAAAAGGTAACTGAAACCATGCTGATACAGGGCTGGATGAAACCAATGAGGCTTCTTGCTCTGGTCAACAAAGGCGCAACGAATGCTCTAGTCATTTTCATAACTTCTAGAACACCGCCTTTGGTGTACAGCGATCTTACCATTGAAAAGGTCTTGCCCATAGATCAGGACTTCCAATGTGACATAAGTGAGATGCTGATTTATTGTTGTTTGACTGTGATGTGCGACGCAAATTTTGTTTTATACATTTTTCCCTATGAATTAGGTACGCCCGAAGAGATGAAAGACCTGTCAGATGTATTCTTAAATGTGACATGCAGGAAGAACAAGACTGTCTTTCAGATGAGGCCTGGTGTCACTACGACAAATCTGGTTTCTAATGTTTTTCAAGCAATCGAAAGTAGTGTTTCACTTTTTATAAACTGACATAGCTTTGAATTATTGTACAAAGTCATTTTCATTGAACACGTCAAATTCTTATTTCAGCTTATCAAAAAAATAGAAATCCCTCAACGGATTTTCTGTGGATACAAAAGTTAATAGGCAGTGTTCGTAACTTAGATATAAACAGCAGTGATGAAGTACAAAAAGCCAGTGAACCAGTGAGTAATAAATATTCAAATATTATTATTATTATTATTATTATTATTATTAAAAAATTATTGGTATGATATAGCTAATAATTTTAAAAATAAAATGTTATGTCTATTTTCAGGTCATCGAAATCGACAGCCCAGAGCTAGTTACTTCAAGACGTAATATAGCTACTGGGAAATCACCTATAGCCACAAGAGAATCAGTAGTACGTTACCAAATGGCATGTAAGGAAGATGATTATACGTACACGAAAGTTTTCCGGTATTCGTTTCATTTTTATTCAATTTTAATAAGCTGAATTATCTGGCAAAACGTGACATTGCTTTATTTAAAAATTTCTTCACAGAATATTTATTGGTACGTGGAACGTAAATGGACAGCCCCCCAGTGGAATAAACTTACATCAGTGGTTGAGCAGTGACGATGTGGCTCCTGATATTTATGCCATAGGTTTTCAAGAGTTGGATTTGAGTAAAGAAGCTTTTCTTTTCAACGATACACCTCGGGAGGACGAATGGAGGCAAGTAGTTGCCAAGTCTCTTCATCCAAAAGCTTCCTACGAACAAATAGCTCTTGTAAGATTAGTCGGTATGATGTTAATAATTTTCGCTAAAAAATCACACTTGCCAGACATAAAAAACGTTTGCGTTGATACCGTGGGTACTGGCATAATGGGAAAAATGGTAACTAAATTTTGTATTGAATTTGTGTTCAAAGAGCCTCTATTTGATAATTGGTTTTTGTCCATACATTTAACAGGGTAACAAAGGTGGTGTCGCTGTAAGTTGCAATATACACAATACATCGGTATGTTTCGTTAATGCACACTTGGCTGCCCATTGCGAGGAGTATGAGAGGAGGAACCAGGATTATTCTGTGATTTGTGGAAAATTAACTTTTCAAACTTACCCTCTCAAAAGACTCAAAGATCATGAGTAAGGATTTGCTCATTGTGTTAAAAAAATAGTCACGCGTAGAAATGTGTATTTAATATTTGTAAGTACTTAATATTTTTTAGTCAAATTTACTGGCTTGGCGATTTAAACTATCGCATAACGGAGATGGATGCGGAAACCGCCAAACAACTAATAGCTGCTGGAGAACTTGCGCCTGTTTTAATGTTGGATCAGTTGGAACAGCAAAGACGTCTCAAACGAGTATTTGTTGGTTTTCACGAAGCAGAAATAAAATTTAAACCTACCTACAAGTATGACCCAGGCACTGATAATTGGGATTCAAGGTGTGAGGAAGCTCAAATTTTATTCTTATTACATTCTTCTATGTTTTTTTTTAACAATTCAAAGACTAGTCTACCATATTGATACAGTGTCTTAATTTTACACTTGAAAGTGTACACGTCATCAGTGTTATACTTTATTTTTTAAATTTTTTAAAAAGTTTTTTAATTTTATGTCATTTACTGTTGAATACATGAATTTCCACACTTTACAGTGAAAAAGGAAGAGCTCCAGCTTGGTGTGATCGCGTGCTCTGGAAAGGAGAATCCATGAATTGTTTGGATTACAGAAGTCATCCAGAATTAAAAATATCCGATCACAAGCCTGTCAGCTCAATATTCGATTCAAAGGTAAATTGATCCATTAAATTTGTCATTGAAAAATGTATTAATGCAATTTTATTTTAGATTCGAGTCATAGATTCGATCAAATATCGTAAAATTCACGAGGATTTGATGAAAAAATTAGACAAATTGGAGAACGAATTTCTACCCCAAGTGACTGTTGACACAACAGAAATAATTTTCGATACCCTTAAATTTTATGAGTCCTCTGTCAAAGAGCTCATTGTTGCTAACACTGGCCAGGTTAAAATATTTACATGAAATCTATAAAGATAACATGATTCATTCCGTTTTCATAGTTTACACTTATATTATGACTAGGTGCCAGTAGAGTTTGAATTTATAAAGAAATTAGACGATACCTCTTATTGCAAAGAATGGCTGACAATAACTCCTTACACAGATTTCATAGAGCCTGGTCAAAAATGTGATATCAAGCTTGAGATTTGTGTTGACAAAAGATCAGCGTGGAAGTTAAATTCGGGAGAAGACAAGTTGTACGATATTTTAGTGTTACACCTAATAAACGGAAAAGATATATTTATAACAGTAACAGGTAAATCCAATACTAAAATTTTATTTGAATTAGTGGAAAAATGCATTACCTAACAGTTTTTTTACTTGTGCGTGATTTTAGGTACTTACGAGCGTAGTTGTTTTGGTTGTTCAATGGAAGCTTTAGTTCACATTCCAATTCCAATTAGAGAAGTACCGATTGGACGAATAATGGAGTTGGTAAGTTTATTTGTCATTTAAATGGAAATATTTACTGTAAAAATAAACTAACAGCGTTTTTCTTCCTTCCAGGAAAATAATAAAAATGTTTCACAGGATCCTTATTCAGTACCAAAAGAGATTTGGTTACTAGTTGACAGACTCTATCGACATGGAATAAAAACTCCGGGTCTCTTTGTAACACAAGGTCTACACAGTGAGATACTAGCCATTAGGGATTGGCTAGACATTGGTAGCCAAGATCCAATGCGTATCCTTTTACATTCATAAGAATACCAAGAAAACATGCATGATAAATTTTTCTTAACTGCTAAATTCATAGCTGGTAGCGTGCATTCAGTGGCCGAAGCTCTACTTTTACTTTTAGACTCAACTTCGGAACCACTTGTTCCATACAATTTGCACAGCGTTTGTTTAACTGCTGCTACGAATTACTTACAGTGTAAACAGGTAAAATCATACGATTATATATTCAAATATCTGTTATAAAAAAAAAAAAAGTAATCTTGATTTATGCATATGCTAGTATTCTTAATCTTGGAGTCAATTCTTGATCGTGAAATATTTTTCAGCTTGTGATGCAATTGCCCGAAATAAGGAGAACGGTATTCTTGTACATATGTGCTTTTCTGCAAGAGCTTTTAAATCACACGCAGGATAACGGATTGGATGCTAAAACGCTGGGTAATATTTTTTTCGCATCTTTTTTATTGGTTTATTTGCAAGAAATGTGGAATTACATTGTTGTTAATTTTTTTTTACTACAGCTTCGTTATTTGGTTCCTTTTTTTTACGCGACCCACCGAGAAGTCGAGAGGACCGTATTCAAAGAAGTAAAGTAATTCAAGCGACATTTGACAGGAAGAAGGCGGCTTTTGTGTATCACTTTTTAGTAAATGATCAGAGCGACTTTATTGGGCGATGAGGATCTGTAAAATCACTGAAGAAATAATTTCTCAATTAAATATTCCTTGTAAAACTATTTTTTACAATGGTCTTGCAATTCTAAATGTTAATAAGAAAAACACGAAAGATCTCAGTAGCCTAGAAAATATTTACGACTGCTTTTTTCCATAGGCATCTTATAGATTCTCCTCATTTCAAGACAATATGCATACCTAGTACATATAGTTTACAGTTGAGATAGAGTGAGGTGTTTCCTGGATTTGAAACTCGCTGATGCTTGAAGATTTTACTTTTCATTGCATTGATGAGCTGTATTTTTATATAGTTTTGTACTTGATGAAATGAAAAAAGAAACAAGGGGTAATCATGTTTTTTAAGTAATTATAGGATAGTTGAAAGTTATTGCGTTAATTAGCTTGTTTGGAACGAGTTCAAACAATTTCTGTTACAAGAATACTCGAGTCATACATGCATCATTTTTAATAATTTAAAGATTTTTAGGTAGTTAATTGTAGCTAATTATTTAGCTATTAAAATATTACACTCATGTATTAGTTATGTTAAAAAACTAAATGTATTTACTGAGGATCCTTTACACTTTATTTTAATACAATGAGTATATCAAACTACGGAGCTTTTTTTAACAGAAAATACCTATATGCAATGAATAAAAAAAAATCACTTGCAAAATTAGCATGACCTTTTGTGAATTTATAAACTTCATTGAATTGTACAAATAAAAGATTAATGAATTATACATTAGCATTAGTTATTGATGTCACATCCACTCATTCTCCATAGCTCAATAAAAATATATCAGGATTTCTAAAGTATATTTTTGACAGCTTATAGTTGTCGGCTAATATTTTTTCAATTTACCATCAGCGCCATTTGGCGTGGCTGATTTCGAACTATGAAAATACCATATTTATTCTTTTGAAAAAAATTCACTAGGAAAACTTACTAGGCTAGTGATATGCTCTAAGTACCCTGCTAAAAAAATTTTCTTTCAAAGACCGACGGCCGATAAGATATTTATTACAGGACCCTATCGCATCGGCAAAACATAGAATATCTATTATACCGACACACAAGATCAGTAAAATTTTGAGGCAGCTGCTGGGCTAGCCCTCTGTCGTGTTGGCCGTAGATAATGCCGACTGGCGGTATGTCGCATTCATCTTGATATACCGACGAATTCCTTCCTTATTGCGCAGCATCTTTACTGCAATAACCATTTTTATCATTCTGGTAAAGAGAGCACGGTGTAAGATATACGTGAAGTTACGTGTAGTAATTATAGTAATCACTTCTAAGTAGTGCCATATGGTCGATTTTATTAAACATTATAAGTAGAATATCTATACTTTTAGAGGTCGGTTTCAGATAAAACATAAATTGTATACTTGCCGCAAACAGCACAGACAATGTCAACTTTTTATTTTATATCTACAAAATTAGTTGCGGCTGGTTTATAATTGATTACATGGCTCTACTGTAAGTATAGTAATAATTATTTTGATCAGCGCCATCTAGCGTTGCGGATTTCTGAACTAAAAAGTGGCCCTAAACTTTTCAACCAGAGCTTTAGCGTGTAGAGCCATTTAGTCACTTATAAACCAGCCGCAACTTATTTTGTAGCTATAAAATGAAAAAATAACGATATATGTGTTTTTGGCGGCTAGTTAACAATTTATCTTTTATTCAAAAATTCATCTTCAAAAGTATAAATACATATGAGGTCAATTCTTTGGTAGAAAATATACTGTTAACTAGCCGCCAAAAACACATATATCGTTATTTTTTCATTTTCTAGCTACAAAATAAGTTGCGGCTGGTTTATAATTGATTAAATGGCTCTAAGCGCTATAGCTCTGGCTGAAAAGTTTAGGGCCACTTTTTAATTCAGAAATCCGCAAAGCTAGATGGCGCTGATCCAAATAATAATTACTATACTTACAGTAGAGCCATGTAATCAATCATAAACCAGCCGCAACTTATTTTATGGATATAACATAAAAAGTTAATTTTTTTTTTGCTGTTTGCGGCAAGTGTACAATCTATCTTTTTACCCGAAAATCGACCTCCAAAAGTATAGATATTCTACTTATATGGTTTAATAAAATCGACTAATCGACCACATGGCACTACTTAGTAGTGATTACTATTTACTATACCTATAATTACTACACACAACTTCACGCACTTGTAAATGTGAGCGCGAGAAAGAAAAAAGATACAAATGTTATCATATTATCTCTTTCTCACTCACGAAGAATAATAAAACAATATTTACCGGCTAACGTGTTGCTGATGCACCTTTAAAAAAATAACCCTTAAGGCAAATAAAATAGCTGTTTACCTGATTGATAATAATTTTTGTATTTGTTATTATCTTTTCATTAAATTTTGTTCCTTTTTTAACATGGAGTCTTCACGAAGAGTAAGTGCAAGGATTGGTTTATGTCTTTGAATAGTTTGTTGATTAGTAAAATTAGTTTATAAAAGTTTTAGCTTTAAAATATCGATGACTAACAAAATTTAATGATTCATGCAAAAATAACTTTTATTGGATAACCTTAGTATTCTGCAATAAGAGAGAAACCTAGTACTTGTACACATTTCAAAGATTTGTTTATTTTTTTTTTACTAAAGTATTTTTGTTATGTTCTTTTACATATTTTATACTAATGTAACAACTTTTTTTGCAGACTGAAAGTAATCTTAGTATTTCATCGATTGTTTCTGATTCTAATTTAAAAGAAGACGACACGGACACAGTGATAAAATCAAACGCCATGTTAAAAATTTTGCTGGAAGCAGCATCTGACACAAACGCAGAGAATTTAGCACTTGGTAGTGAAATTTCAGAATTGCTCAGTGCTCTGAAATTTGATCTGAAATTATTACCCCCTGATATCAGAGATGGGTTACAGACAGTAGTTGCAATTTTAAAGTCGGAAGGATTAGCATCTGTGGATGAGACAATGTTGACATTGTGTTTGGAGAAGAAAAAAATTGAGAACAAAATGAAGGAAAGGGAAGAAAGATTATTAAGAGCAAAATATAATTATGCATTTACCAAATACAATGCTTTTGAATGCAAGTTGAATCAATTAAGAAAAGAAATTGAAGAGGTTGAAGACACCTTGCAAGAAAAGATATCCAATGATGAAAATGAAGAATCTAATAGGATATTATGGTCAAGTCGATTGCATGATTACAAAGATACTGTTAAGAAGCTTGAGGAAGAACTAAATGAATTAAACATTAAAGAAATCGGGATAGAGGCGATACAGCAAAAATCTTCAATTTTAATGGAGAAACTGAATGATCTTGTAGAGTTAGATCAAGAACTTTCAAAATATAAAGACTTGCCTCCTAATCTGTTACAAGCAAAAAATGCTCTAGAAAATAAAAGAAAGGAGCAACAAGCTGTTGAAAATGCACTGCATGAGATATTGAGTTAATTTTAAATATATTATTTGATTTTTATTAATAGTAAGAGTTAAAAACCAATCAAGTACTTGATTCCAAATTTATTTATTTTTTTTCATTTAACACTGTTATTGAATAAAAAAATTCAAGGTGCTTAATTTACTCCTGCATTTTCTGCATCTGCAAACAGTTGTTACATGGCCTTGTCACTACCGTGTTACTATATACTATTATGTACATATTTGTACAGTTTTCTTAAAAAATATAAATAATGAATGGTGATTTCTATTTTCAGTATTATCTGTAATTTATTTTCATAAGAGAAATATAACTGTAAG